CAAAAAAATTTGTTACCTAAAATTAATACAAACTATTTTAGAATTTCTAACAACTTCTCTCTGTCTTCGTAATTTAATTTATTTATAATATGTCTCCTTACAATTATATTACATTTATTATAACTTACACTATATATCTTTAATGGCTTGATGAGCTTGTTATATAGAAATGGTCCTAAAATATGTAAAATCTGTTCACAAATGCGTGTTTGGCTTGAGGGTTTACACAAACTTTATCCATTCTTCACCTGTCTATGGATTTTAAGTTAAATGGAAGTTCGGTAGCAGTTTTAATATGATGTTCGGGATAAACAACTGACGGACTGTTAGTACACTTCATGCAAAGTAAAGTTTATGTGAAGGTAGCCTGAATGGACGGAAAGTGACTACCTTTGTTGTGTTGCAAGTAGTTTATAAATCAGGCCAAATTTATAATCTTGATAACTTAGTGAATTGAATAAGTAGGTGCTAGGTAAACTCATTTATAATAGTCAAGATCAATGTTAATATACATTACTATTTGGGGTATTTGTAAAGTACTTTACTATATATTATTATTATTTTTAAATTGATTTTATATCCTCGGCTAGCTGAAAAGAGGTGATAACACGGGCCTAAGCCAAGTGATTATCAGTTGAATTACTTGTGGTCACGTGCAGAAAATTGCACAGAGTCTGCATGTGTTCATGTGTAGCCTTCTGCAGCAGATGATAGGTATTTGAAGGTAAGTTGAGGGAATTACGGAACTGCGGAAGTTGTTTCGGTATTACTCCTGTTGTAGACGATATTATTGGTAATATTGTAACTTTTTGCAGATGCCAGAGTCGGGCTACTTCATCTTTTAATTCAGTATATTTGCTCAGTTTTTCGTTATTATTGTTATTTTTGGGGTATCTATATGGTTTTCTCATCTGGTTGGGTTCCATAAATATATAATTATAGATGAGAATGATAAATATACATAAATATCACTAAAATAAAATAAATACATATAACATACATAAATAAATAAAAGCCCAACCAGATGAAAGCCCTCGGCAGGGGAGACCAAACGGCAAATTATTATTATTATTATTTTTGCCATCAGGTAGACTATGCGCTCGTTTGTCATCCATACTTCTATAAAAAACCGCCTCTTATAATAATCACGAGACGAAATGGAATTATGGATTCTCTAACGCTACCACCATAAAGTACGTGTGTTATTTATCTAATAAAAAAAATGTTTGTTCGTATATTATGCGCTAGTTCATCAGATTGCGGTAAAACTTTGTCAACATATTGCTTACACTTGTGCTAAGGTTTTATTTATAGTACTTAACTTACAGTTAAGTACTATGAATAAAACCTTAGCACAAATTAAGTTACAGTAGGTGGCGCCTGTGTCGCACTGAAAAATTTATTTGAAACTTATATATTATTCAACTTTAATTAATGTATCACCATTCCTAATTAAACAATATAACTCTTCCAAATTTAAAACGATATTTATTTTCAACAGCAACGCGCTATTTATTTATAAAAAAATACGAAGTGCGTGCGTAATTTATTAATTATAATGCACTATTTAAACATTAGCAAATCACCAAACTAATTTTGTGGGGAGAATTACAGGCAACATTATTAAAGAATACTCTTTATTTATTTTGATGAAATCAGGATTTTGATCAAAAGCCTGGGTTTAATTACAATTTTTAGTAATAAAATGATACCACTGTCTGCAAATATTTTGATAACCCTTTAGAGTTTATTTAAAAATAAATGGGTTCGATAAGAGTTCTGCTTTTTTACGTTGGTATTCTGTGAGAGAGTGATCCTACCCCGGTCAAGCCGACACATTCGTGCTGTAACTATGTATAGCTAATATGTGTAGGTATGGCGTGACTCTTTCACGTAAAAATGTAATGTTCATTTTATTATAATCCTAAAGAAATCCAGGTTTTCGGTCACTATTCTAGCCTTCAGCAAATGTTATGATGACATTTTGTCTCCGTTTTTCAGGCTTTAAATAAAAATTCGGAAGTTTTCATCAAATTCCTGGTGTTATTAAAATTTTGCGAAAATACGTATTTATTAATAAATGTGTTAAGAAAAGTGTAGTAAAGTGTAACGATTGCTTAAATTTACGCGAATACTACACATTGAACAAAACTATTATTTACGGATTTTATCACGTTTAATTACTACTTTAACTTATTTTTACTATCCCGACGTTTCGGGTGCTTTACAGTATCCATGGTCACGGGGGGACCGAGATGTTTGACGTCCCAATGTCATAGCGTAGAGTAAAGTAATATATGTCATAGTTAGTCCGGCTACCTTCAGTTTTTAAATATTAATTTTGGTCCGATTTACGCAAAACGAGCTTATAATATCATGAAGTCTTGTAGTGGTATGCTTGGGTTTGGATTTAATTTTGTTAATTATAGGATCCCAAGCAGATGGCAGCACCCATCCATCTTCTCCATTAAAATTTGGATGGTTTTTATTTTCAATAGCCTCGCGTATCATCCTTGATAGAAATCGGTGTTCTTTTGCGAGGATTTGTGGTTTATCAAATCTAATGTAATGGTGGGGACATTTACAAGTTAGATTGTGAATGTGGTCTCTCTTACATAGATCAAACAAAAAGATCTATAAAACCCGCATGAAGGAACATATAGCCGACATGAAGCATCGACGCTCTGGGAAGTCTGTAGTCTGGGAACATGTTCAAGATCGTCCCCACACACATTGTTTATAGTTTTATTCAAAGTGTAGTGAAGTAGTCACATATTTGTGCAATAATTGGGAATAGGCCTCCTCTCAATTCGGAAAGAGTTATGGAGCAACACAACACAACTACAATCCTACCTTATGGCAAGGGACGATGAAGCCCTGGACAAAAAGGTAAATCTCGTGATGCCAGCCAACAAAAACTCGTGTTCAAAAAAACTTAAAACTGTTATATAAATAAATTGAACGGTCACCAACAAAAACTATCAATGAACAACATGCGAACAAATTTCCAGCTCTCTCCGATAATACAAAATCGATGTAAGCTCCAATTAATCAGTTGTACGGGTTTTACTTTTCCATCGCTGGCTGCACGGGCTTTTTATGACTCGGATACGTAATTCCCTGTATTGTTGAAATGCACGGCTTTATGTTTTTTCGCTTATTTTACGAGAGAGAATTTCAAGCGTACATCGCTGGTCTCGTTTGTGTTGACCGCGGTATAAGCGAATATTTAAATGTAATCCCATAATGAGAAATTTTTACTGCTTTGAAAATCATACTATTTAAGTATTTATATGGCTTTTATAGAGAAACAAATGCAATAACAGTCTACGTAGATTTTACTTTTTTGAAACGAACGTGACTAACGAACGTACAGTCCGCCTCATGGCTAGCGGCTTCTACCGTCCATAGACACCTGGAGCCAAATTAAATAAAAAAGGCTACTGATCCGTTGTAAACTCTGAGAAATATAATGCAATGCCGCAAAGACTATAATTATACTAACTCTCTATACCCTTTAGATCCTTTTTAATAGAATAAGGTTGACAAACGAGCACACAGTCCACCTGACGGTAAGTGGATGCTGTAGCCCACAGACATCTACATTTATCATCAGTTCAGCAACAAAATGCAGGTGCGTTGTAACCCCTAAGTACTAAAATGGAATGCCTCGTTTCAGTAAAAAGGGTCTCTATTTAAAACCTTCCTAGAGTATTTTCATTTCTTCAAAGATATGTAGCTTTAGTTAAATACACACAAATTAGAAAGAGAACATGTGTACATATGACTTAGCGTACACTTTTGTCTAGACGTTAGATAGACAAAACAGTCCCACGTTGCCTTGCATGTGTCACTTCTATTTGAAATATATCATGATTATGCTATTAATGTTTTCTATACCTATACATACAGAAGACATTCTCTATTTTGCCTAGACTCTATTTTGCCTTTTATTTTATTCTGAAATGAGATCATCTTACACAGACAGTTACATAAGACATTTAAATAAATAAATGCAACAAAAGTGCTGGTTGTTTAACATTGACAGCATCTTTCGATGGCTTGCTTTTTTACTTAGGTTTAGCTACATATATTACGATATTGTAAACTAAGCGTTATAAAAAAAAACATGTGTACAACTCACACGTGGTAGAAGTGAAACCTTCTTAAAACTAAATTTCTAAAGACTTAAACGAATGCAGAGTATCAGGAGTAGGATAATTGTAGGTAATTGTAAATTTATCAATAACACTGTATTCCACATTCTATAGATTTACATGTATATTTTTGTCTCTTTTTAGTGTCGCTTTTTTCATCGAGTTTGTAATCAGTACGATTCTAGTGTTCTAGTTCTTAGTTCATAAAAATGATATTTGGTATTAAACATCATATTTTTTAATTTATTCATAAAGAGTTCTGATTTTATTAAATAGAAACTTTGAGCAGCAGTAGGTATGAATTTAAAAGAAACAAGGGCCCAGAGAGACAATTCTGTCGCTAAAGTTACTTCTTGGCAGGTAAAAGAACCCATTACTAGATACTCACATTGCTTTATAAACTCTTGAAAAAGCATTTGAGTAGACTCCTTAATGTAAAAAAAGCCTTGGCTTAGATAGGATTTATTATGTGGTGTTTTCATTAATATAATTTTAAAGTAATCAAAAACTACAATTTGATGAAGAAAATATTTAAAATTGATACTATAAATATTTTGTGAAAAAAATTATTTAAGTTCTTTAAATAAAATATAGTTTACAACCCTCCTGAAATTGTTCTTTATCAGTTCGTGAAGTTTCATTAGAATCGTTTCGACCATATTATCGAAGGTTAGCCCGTACAGCTCGTGCTCGTGCTCAGCTCGCGCTAGCTCGTGGCTACACCGCAAAGTTCTAATAGTATACATACAAGTCTTTGTGTAACAGTACTTACCTCTGCGGCGGTGGTGCAGGAGTGCAGCACGACGAGCCCCTGCACGTGCATGTGCACCAGGTGGTAGAGCGCTAGCTCGTGGCTACACCGCAAAGTTCTAATAGTATACATACAAGTCTTTGTGTAACAGTACTTACCTCTGCGGCGGTGGTGCAGGAGCGCAGCACGACGAGCCCCTGCACGTACATGTGCACCAGGTGGCAGAGCGCTAGCTTGTGGCTACACCGCAAAGTTCTAATAGTATACATACAAGTCTTTGTGTAACAGTACTTACCTCTGCGGCGGTGGTGCAGGAGCGCAGCACGACGAGCCCCTGCACAGGCAAGTGCACCAGGTGGTAGAGCGCTAGCTCGTGGCTACACCGCAAAGTTCTAATAGTATACATACAAGTCTTTGTGTAACAGTACTTACCTCTGCGGCGGTGGTGCAGGAGCGCAGCACGACGAGCCCCTGCACGTGCATGTGCACCAGGTGGTAGAGCGCTAGCTCGTGGCTACACCGCAAAGTTCTAATAGTATACATACAAGTCTTTGTGTAACAGTACTTACCTCTGCGGCGGTGGTGCAGGAGCGCAGCACGACAAGCCCCTGCACGTGCATGTGCACCAGGTGGCAGAGCGCTAGCTCGTGGCTACACCGCAAAGTTCTAATAGTATACATACAAGTCTTTGTGTAACAGTACTTACCTCTGCGGCGGTGGTGCAGGAGCGCAGCACGACGAGCCCCTGCACGTGCATGTGCACCAGGTGGTAGAGCGCTAGCTCGTGGCTACACCGCAAAGTTCTAATAGTATACATACAAGTCTTTGTGTAACAGTACTTACCTCTGCGGCGGTGGTGCAGGAGCGCAGCACGACGAGCCCCTGCACGTGCATGTGCACCAGGTGGTAGAGCGCTAGCTCGTGGCTACACCGCAAAGTTCTAATAGTATACATACAAGTCTTTGTGTAACAGTACTTACCTCTGCGGCGGTGGTGCAGGAGCGCAGCACGACGAGCACCTGCACGTGCAAGTGCACCAGGTGGTAGAGCGCTAGCTCGTGGCCACACCGCAAAGTTCAAGTAGTGTACATACAAGTATTTGTGTAACAGTACTTACCTCTGCGGCGGTGGTGCAGGAGCGCAACACGTTGAGCCTCTGCACGTGCAAGTGCACCAGGTGGTAGAACGCTAGCTCGTGGCCACACCGCAAAGTTCAAGTAGTGTACATACAAGTATTTGTGTAACAGTACTTACCTCTGCGGCGGTGGTGCAGGAGCGCAGCACGACGAGCCCCTGCACGTGCATGTGCACCAAGTGGTAGAGCGCTAGCTCGTGGCCACACCGCAAAGTTCTAGTAGTGTACATACAAGTATTTGTGTAACAGTACTTACCTCTGCAGCGGTGGTGCAGGAGCGCAGCACGACGAGCCCCTGCACGTACATGTGCGCCAAGTGGTAGAGCGCTAGCTCGTGGCCACACCGCAAAGTTCTAGTAGTGTACATACAAGTATTTGTGTAACAGTACTTACCTCTGCAGCGGTGGTGCAGGAGAGCAGCACGACGAGCTCCTGCACGTGCATGTGCACCAGGTGGTAGAGCGCTAGCTCGTGGCCACACCGCAAAGTTCTAGTAGTGTACATACATGTCTTGGGTAACAGTACATACATCTATAGCTGTGATGCAGTATTATTATTGTTTGTCGTTGATACATAATAAGTATACTGACTACTTTGACTTAATCAAAAAGTATCTTATAATACATTTTTTTAAATATCAAACAAATTTAAACACAAAATATTACTTTATTTAACTATTATATTTCACTGATAGCTATCTGCAGTGTAGTGTGAGGCTTTTGTTATTTTATCCGAGCTTACATCTTCATCGTATAATACGTTTCGTGTATGTTGCGATCTCACTATAGAATTCACTGACAAATTTCCATTCAAAACAACATGAATGTAGCGTTCGACATCCACCGCCCTGCTGAATATGTTTGTTACCTGATACTAAAATTAAAGTTATCGTAAATGAAGCTCATGAAATATATTCTACTTCGCACTATACTACTAGATTTTGAAAAAAATTAAATTTATTGGGTTTATAATGGTTCAGAAATAATATCACAATGTACTGTATATTATTTTTTATTATCTATTCTACATCATTCTATATTACAGCCTATAAACTGTATAGGCCGCCCTCGTGGAATGCCTCATGATCCATTTTCCATAGTTGCTACGCTTGGCATTCGGGTTGGCAATCGCATCTTTTTTATTCAGCTGTTATCAGGGAGATGCTGCTGCCTACCTCCTGTTTTGGTTTCCCTGTGTCACTTCTTACGACACCCATGGGACGATATGGATTATATTAATTTATTTATTTATGCTTTAACGCAAAAAGTAGTACATAGGGCGGACTTAATGCCATGGGGCATTCTCTCCCAGTCAACCATTAGGCTAAACAAAGATAGACATTTAGGCAGCAATAATCGAAATAGAGAGAATAATATATATATATATATATATAATATATATATATATATATATATATATAAATAGCCCAATGATGGAGAGCAATGTCAAGATACGACACATTTGCTATTCTCAAAATTTGAATATTGTAAATTGTAGTTTTTGATTACTTTAAAATTATATTAATTAAAACACCACATAAATAAATCCTATCTAGGCCAAATTTCAATACCTAGGAATGTCCTAGGTATTGAAATTTAGATTTCAAATACTCGGGAGCACATGGATCGTTCAAAATTTTGAAAAGGGTGCAGAGTATTCTAACATATCTGCGCTGACGTATAGGCATCCAGTTTAGCTGAGTAGGAAAAGAAGTATTATATTATACATATGATAAAATTAAAATACTACCGATGAAGGATGTATTTAAACAAAAAAAATCAATTTAAAGGTAGTTTGAAGACGAAGAAAACCTCATGACGTAGTCTCGTGCTATTTGAGGTCCCATTCTTTATTGATTTATTAGATTAGCGTTTTTTTTATAGAATAGGGTGACAAACGAGCACACAGTCCACCTGATGGTAAGTGGTTGCTGCGGCCCATAGACATCTACATCTATCCTCCATTAAAAATCAAAATGCAGATGCGTTGTCACCCGTGATGACTGAGATGGAATGCCTCGTTTCCAGTAAAAAGGGTCTCCGGTTCTCTACACTCACCATACGAAATACAGCAGCATTAAGCTACTATTTCAGGCTGGTATTCTGTGAGAGCGTGGTCCTTCCCCGGTCGAGCCTACCCATTCGTGCTACAACTATACTACTACAACTAGCGTGCTCTTCGTAATTCGCTATTTGACACATTTGCAAATGTGTAGTATCTTGTACATTGCTCTCCAACATTGGGCTATATATATATATATATATATATATATATATATATATATATATATATATATATATATATGTGTGTGTATATAGTTATGACTAGACTATATATAAATGTAACTAGCTACATATGTATAGTATATATATATATATATATATATATACCCTATACGTAATATATATATATATTACGTATAGCAATTTTATGGCTATTACCTCATCTTTCAGCTGCTATAAGATATCTATTATACTTCTCAGTCCCGCCGTTATCGACTCCAACTATTTGAAATTGGGTTATAATTAATTCTGTAACGCCGCCACTAAACGCCAAAACTTCATTTTCTGTACATCCGTCTATATCTCTATTACCCTCCCAAAATTATACAATTACTAAATAATACGAGTATATGAGCCATCGTTAGCTAAGAGGCCAAGCGCTCACTATAAACATATTTTGTTTGTTTTTTACCCGCCGGCAACAAAAAAAAAAGTTGATTGCTGAAATATTGTTGGATTTAAGTGATAACCACGTGCTCGGCGATGAAGTAACATGTCTCGACGCTAGCCAAAACGTACGTAGACGTAGTATCGCCATGTCCATTCGTCCGCCCGTTCGCAATTTTACAACAAAGCTGTAATTTGGCATAGTTATAGATATAAAATATAGACATTGTTATAGATAGAAGTTAAAATAAAAACTATCACAGCTTAGTATGTCTAACAAATTAATAAGTAATAGTCGACCAACTTATAAAATACACTAATACACTTGGATTAGTAAAAAATTCTTTACGATTCCGAAGAAAATTACCAAAAAGTAGCTGTGCATTATAACTTTGTAACGTTTATAAACTGTAAAATATGAATTTTTTAACCAGTTATACATACTACACAGCTTTACGTTTGCCTTTGCGGGGTACTCAAAGTGAATCGATCGCCAAGAGACCGATCCTGAATAAAAAATAAGCGAAAATTATATACTTTCGCAAATTTTTTAATTAGTAGTTATTGCACACATTCAGTTTCATTCGGGGTACTTTTGGTTTACGCGGGCGACCCTCACGATGGTTTCAGCCGGTGGTGGTTTACGTGAAGGTTCATTACGGTCATATACATCTTAAAGTTGCACTGATGGAAACTCCAATGTAGATGGATAGGAAACTATGACCATTGTTTTTCGCACTTGTCAATTGAATGGTTTCATGTAGAAGTATTATTTTTAAAATCTTAATTTTTTTATCTTTTTTGAATATCTTTTCCTCTAAGTTTGCATTAATAAAAGATTTGTTTCGTTACCATCGTACTATTTAGGTTCATTTTTATTCGATATAGCGGCCTATATATCAAGAAGACCTATTTATGTTCACATATTGTGACGGACACTACGGAACCCTATATTGTGCGTGGCCAGACACGCATTTGACCGGTTTTTTATACCAAACTATGTGTGACAAATAAGTACACATTCTTCCTAATGGTAAGTGGGTGCATCGATACCTACATCTATTCATTGGTATTCTGTGCGAGCGTGGTCCTTCCCCGGTTGAACTGACAGAAGATTCGCAGTCATTATACGCTATAGCAATGTTGTACCACACAAAAATTAAAAGTATATCAATCACTCCTTCGAAAAATATTATTTGAGAACCTTCGGGACTGAACTACTATGTCCAAAAATACTTGGTTATCTTTTATTTTTGTCATAAAAAGTCCCAAAATTCATCTATGCGCATACTATTATAGAATCATATCTTTTCACGAGCACCAAAGTTAACAACGTTACTTTCAATTTTTACTACCCATAAAATATGAGCTTATATTTTACGTTTTGGCCTGAATTTTAAGATTGTTTTCCCGACCTTTATCCAACTTTTAAATTGACTTGCGGAGTAGCATGGTGTTTTTTTTTGACATTTTAAGGTAATTTTAATTTTAATTATTATAAGACCACAAACCTAACCTACTCATCAAACTGCACTGCTGTTTGCAGCAAAACTAAAAAGATGGTGATCCCAACAATAACAGACTCCTTAAACCAACCGTGGTTCTCATAAATATGTAATAAACTGTTTATTGTTACTAAAAAATCAAGTTTATTGTTACTAACTATATCATATTTTTTTAGAAAAATGTTTCTCAAACTGAAAATTGTGTTTGTTCTAAATTGCTTCAATCAAGCGACGAACACATCAATTCGTTAAGCTTCATTTGCTTGATTGAAGATCTCTTGAGATCTAATAGAAGTCCTCGAAGGGTATGTTTATGAGCATTTTAATAATAAAAAGGACCTATTTGTTTTAATTTTCATTCAATCAAAAACAAAATGCAAAGTAAGAAATTTTGCGCCAAATTTCGGAGTCTAACGATTTACTAACATCAAAGAAAACCGAAAAACAGGCGAGTAATTAACCACATACCACACCTTTCAGTAAACTCGAAGCGAGGCAGAACGTCCATGAAATAACTAATATAAAAACATTTCAGTAGTCCAAACGCACGTATTGTTAGTTGCAAACACAATTGGGAGCCATTTGCGCACAATACAGAAACTTAATCACTCACGCGATACTCTAATATCATGCCTTGAGGTAATGTGAACAAATGAGCCAGGCCACCGCCCACGATCGTCGCATGCGATGTAGCCCTGGAGTAATCCGTGCGTGTTTTTGACCTCAAGCTTTTCTTACACAAACAGTATTTAAGAATATTATTTATTTTCTTTAGTTGAATGGTTTAAAAATGGTTGAGTGGTTTAAACAGAAAAAATACAAATGTAGTTTTTTTTTATTCTTATCAGCCAGTCTTTAACTACTATCTCATCTGATGATAAATGATGATGTCGGCTACGTCATCTAAATAGTTAGGCGCACTGACTTAGTCTTAGCTAAGAAGAAATAGTAAGAATAATTGGCCACTCCCTAGTAAGGCCCGCAATGGAGCAAACTGCGCTAGTGGGGCTGCGGATGTGTACGAAAGCGTTCCCGTAGTAAGATAGAATACCATAGGGTTTTAGTCGATACTGATCCAACTTAACCCGTCCTCAACCCTACGGTAATGAATCGTTTTTGGAGATCGTATTTAAATACTTTAAGGAGCGTGTTAAAAATTGCCGAAATGAAATGTAAGAAAAAATAGTGTTCTATGGAAGTATTATATTTGTATTTTAAAGTTATTTTAGTTAAGTTCGTTATTATAAATTTTTGAATTATATATATATATATATATATATATATATATATATATGTGTGTGTGTGTGTGTGTGTGCGCGTGTGTTATAAG